GTTTCAAGCTGAAGCAAAGGAAAAAGAACTCCATATCGCATCTGTGGAAACAGAAGGGAATAGAAGAAGAAAAAAACTGTCAGAGACTTTCCTCTCCTCACCTATGTTCAAAGTTAATATCAATATAGAATGTACTACTATTGTTAAATTTGATTGTAGTTCAACATAATTTGATATGTATTATTAATGTAATCATATTATTATTAATGTAATAGTTTTTAATATAATTTATTATAAGTAGTTTTGCATTAAAATTCATATTGAAATGTTAATTATACCAGAATAATTTATCTACTGTATAATATCTTTATCTAAACTGTAACAAGTATTGTATCTTTAGGCCATCCGCCCAACTCTCGATCGCAGGTTTTGTTTCAGTTTCCGCTGATCCTTTGAGGCAAATGCTGAGGTGCCGCCTGTTTGCCTCTGAACAGTAATATACACTGTCGCTCTCTCCCCGCCAAGGCACATATTGACTTCGTCCATTCACAGATTGTAAATTGTATATGTGACCAATAAATATTATATATTATTATTATTATTATTATTATTATTTATTATTATTATTTATTGATTATTATTATTCAATATTAATTGTACTGGAGCTCTAAACTGTGATATCCGATGTACATTGCTTATGCAAACGCACATTTGGTCTCTCGATGCCTGTATTTACCACTACAGTCAAATGCCCTCCTGAAGGGGGGCAGCAAAAAGCTATTGTGCAACCTCTATCCCACAGCCTCGGAGTTCTGACATTCTTTCAAACTGCTTCTCTGCTGGGCCTTGTGTACCGAGCAGGAGAGAAAAGGTGTACCAGACTGATGGCAGTGACGTGCCACCCTGTGCCTCTAACAGTTATAAAGTAGGGAAAGGATTTTGATGTGGCAAATTATGGTCGTAAAAGGGGAAGTTCTAAGAAATGCATTCAATATAAAGTGCAAGAACAAGGTGTGGCGTACTGGGAGTCTGACCGAGTGTATGCTGTGTGCATTAGGTTTAAAGTACGCACATACATGGAGGATCAGGCTGATGTCGTAGAACCAGTGAAGTACTGTCCGGGATGAATTTGCAGTTAGTTTTTTTTTTCTTTTTTCCGTAAAAGTGATTTATAAACCTTATCGCAACATTGTTACGTAGATAGAAAACTGTTAAAGCATATTTGCCACACGTGACTGCAACTTATTTTCTGGCGGATCGCATGGTATATTAACGGACGTTGGCGGGTTTCAAACCCGATCAAAGGCCATGGGATTTTTTAAGGACGAAAAAATCTTCGTACGCGCTCCCTTCCAGAGGGGACGTAAAGCCGGTGCCCCATGTTTAGTAGGATTTACTTGCATGTAAAGATATCCTCAAGCCTAAATGACGGCCTCTGAGCTAAATTCCAAATAGCCCCATTTTCTGCGCCGAGAAATAATCCTTTCCCCTGCTAAGTTTGGTGAAAGGAACGTGCGAAATTTGCTGTGTCAGACGGAAGAGTCAGCTCATGGGCCTGGTGCTGCCGTATCGATAAAATAAGCATTAAATGAATTCAATTCTCTACTAGTTTGTGAAACATAGCATAAGGGCGAAATTTGCGTTGTGGTCAGACGGTAGAGCGGACCCTGATCGGCTGAGTTCTTCGCTGGCGACGTAATAAACACGGTCAGTCAAGTTCCTAATTAATTTTCTAGATTCATTCAATTCAGACTAAATATAACAGGTGATTCGCAGGCAGGTCACATGCCCGCACGAACCCGCGGGGAAACCTGGGTACTATTGCCGGTCCACAGGCAATTCGCAATCCGTGACTTCCCGCTTCTTTCCCCCAAATTCCAACAAGCGCAGGCAGGTGCCTCCTTATTGATTGGCGAGCACAATGGCAAAGGTAAACATTTTCCTACATCATGCGGCAGACAGTGGATTTCCTGCAGACACCATTTAAAATGTCCTGAATGCCTGGTGGAAGGCAACTTTATCAGTGGGGAAACAGTTCAACTTGTTGTAGCAATATGGTTGAAACATTAAATTTGTCTTTACAACTGCAGATCGATCCATTGTTTGCTGGAATATAATCACCTGTGGTTTACGCAAAAGATATCTTTAATGTTTATCAATATTGTTTGACTTCTAAATTAAGAGAGATTTTAAAAGCTGTTTCAGACATTTTTTGAAAAGGTGTCGCGACCGTTAAATCGCTTCTCCTAGTTAATAGAGTTACTACTACACTTGTTCGCCTCCAATTTTTAGAAATACCGGAACGGCATTGCTGGGACCCGTACCAGAAAAGGGCAAATCGAGCGTTAGATTAAAATTCAACAACGGGGCCCTCAAGTTTGTAAATCACTGGGTGCGTTGGTGACGGAAAGCGAGAAGAACTGGGAATCCCTTATCAAAGAGAAGGGGAACGGGCGCGTTTATTGCATAATGTATACAGACATTCAGAGGGGAACAGCATGGGCAGATATCGGTAAAAAGATTACAGAAATAGATTTATAAAAGCAGAGGTAAGACCATCCTTGGAAAATACGATGTAAGAGAAGCAAAGAACTGATGTTTATGGGCAAGTTCTCTCCTTTGTGGAATCGCACTGAGTAGATTGGAAATAAACTAACCTGCAGAAGCACTAGAGGCTCTTCCTTCTAATGGTAGCCAAATTTAAAAATATGCTTATTCGATCTAGATCATCTCGAATAATACTGACTGAAGTACATTTATCTTTATTATTATTATTATTAGTAATTATTATTTTCTTATTATTAGTTAATATTCATAATTATTTTATTATTCTGTCATAATTTTTATCTGTCATGGCTTGCTTATACAGTGAAGTGAAGTGTAGTGTAGTGCAGTGCAGTGCAGTGGCAGTGCAGTGCAATGTGCAGTGCAGAAGTGGTTATGTAAACTAGAAGTGAATTTAGAGTTACGTAGAATATAAATTGAACTTTATATCGAGCCCTTAATTCTAATAGCTAAACCCAATTGTAAATGGTTGAGAAATGTTGTAGTCAAATCTCTATTTAATTGTTATCGGATGTTTGCCGCCGAGCATTAGCTCAAAGCGAACTTGTAATAATCTATCTATCTATGTGTTGTTACGCGCCCTTGGTACAGGTGGCTGTGTATGTATTAACTCAGTGGTGTGAAGGAGAGGGAGGTTGATGCAAATGCCATCTGGGTCTTCAAAGGGCAGTAGGTTGAATACTAAGGTTAACTAATAACTAAGAGTTACTAAATACTAACTTAGTTCGTACCTTAAACAACAAATCTTCAGAGTAGAAATACCTTACTGGAAATAATGGGACATTATAGTAACACCTTTTCTGATTCTTTGCCCCATTGCTATGTGAAATGTTTGCAGGAGATCCCGGCTTATTGTCTAGACCTTTATTTCTCGTCTTGTTCGCGTGAACTGTCGTTCTACTTCTCTGCAACGAGCGGTATACGTAGTAACGATAATATCGCCTCGCCGATTAGTAATGGAAGAACAGTTCTCTTCCGAATACAAATATTTATTTTGCAATAAAGACAACCGTTAGAATCCAGTACATGTATTAGCATAGATATTTTCAAATTATCGGTTTTCGTATATGAACTGAAATTATATGAAGTAAAGTGAAAAGAAACTGTTTTCAATGCAGTTCTTCCATTTCTAAATATAACAGCTCGGCACTTGTACGTGAAACGAACGGCATTGCCATTGACTGATGTTAATTTGTTGGTTACAAATGTTGTAGGAGACTTATTCAGGCGATTCAGTCCGACACCTTGTATGGGAGACGTGCCCAACATTGCTTTTTAAACATGATATTGAACATTTTTACACATTAATTTGTTTATATCGCTTATTCGCTGTCGATCAGTCTTTCAAAATCATCAGTCCCCCTATATAACCTAACTCAAATTCCTTCTATTCACGCCTGGTAATGTTCGACAAAGGGCGATATCTGCGTGAATCTGTGACTGATGGAGCCATCGCTCACTTGGACGAGATAACAATACTTCCATCTATATCACTGTCCAAACTTTAGAGATTCATCCAGATCAAAAAAATGAACATTGTAATCGCAAATAATGTGAGCTAAAGTCCCAACTTAATAAGATATTAAAGAATAAATCTATTTCTAGTAATAATACATAATCATATTATTAATCTAAGTTTTGCATTACCTTGTCTCTAGAATGTCTTGTGCCTTAACTTTACCTTGTCAGTGGTTTTATGTTGGTCAGAATAGAGCAGTTCGCTAGTATATGGTGGACTAAAGTAGCGATCCCAAAAGGAGAACTTGCCTACATAGTTCTTTGCTTCTTAACTCGTCAGCAACATTTTCTATAACTTACAACCTCGACGTAGGTAACATATTCCAGCAGGTGACAGTATCAACAGCTCACTACAAAAAATTCACCTATAATACATGTAAAATAATGTACACCACCTTGCTAGATGACATTAAATGATTAAATTCGATACAAAAGTTTAAGTCTCAAGTAAAATCTTTTTGGCTGCACAACTGTTCCTCTACAATTAGAGACTAAACCGAGCATCCAAAAGGAAAGTAATATTAATTTTAACAATGACGTTTAATGTATTTTATACCCTTTGGATTGTGCAATTGTAAAGAACCTGTAACAACTATTGTACTTCAGCTTCTGGGTCAATGACCCCTATCTCAAACAGATTTTCGTCCAGTTTCCCTGATCCTCAAGCAAATGCTGAGATGACCCCTAGTTTTGCTTCTGGACATAAATGTAACTTCTAATTAACTTCTCGCCATAGCACGTCATATGCAGTTTTTAACTGTTTTTGACGGAAATAAATAAAAATAAATAAAAGGGGCAGGGAAATATACCAATGTTAAAAAGGGTGATGATTAACATACCCACAGAGCGACATGCAAACAATCTATGAAAGTATTTTGCCATTCATATGAAGTTTCTTTAGTCATCAGTGATCTACCCAAAGAGCAGCTGCAGAAGGGAAATAATTTTATAAAACCATCAAGGCATTAAGTTTACATGTATATTTAACAAATTTGAAAATTTATTCTTGTATTTTAATCATTTAGGAATCACATTAGTAAACTATAGTCACTTCATTCAAAACTTGCATAACACTGCATATTGATTTTCAGATATGGCTGAAAGCTCTATTTACCTGAGAGTTATGTACGCTAATGTTTTTCCATTTTTAATTTCAAAGAAACATTGGAAAATGTGACACCTCAGACGCTTTTAGGATTGTTGCAAATTTTAACTTGATTCTCAGCCAAAAATAAATCTTATTTAACCTGTCATCAAAATAATAATATTTTCAATACAGAATAAGTGACAGTTATGACAGTCTTTTCAATTCTTACTTGTAAAATAAAAAAAATATTATTTAGAAAAAATATCAAGCCAGGCTTAAAAAACAAAATTTCATTACTACTACAATTAAAGGCAAATTTAGTCCTCTTAAGTGCTTCCGAAATTATCATAGACTTTTCTAAAAGTAACGCTCCTCTATAATTAGTATTTTAATCTCTTACTTCTTTCATATTTTTTTCATTATTAAGTTTCTTGAACACTAAGATTTTCTAGTTGATACTTTCTGTAATTCTAGTCTTTCAAGCTTTCTTCCTAAAAGAAAGAATTGCTATACTTATTACAACACACACACATCCTTATAATTAGGCACAATAAAAGAGCAGTCTTACATACAATATTTTCATTTTTTCTACATTAATTAGTCTGACCGCTACTATTATTTCTCAGAACCAAACTTTAACATATGTACAAAATTACATAAAAATACAAGTTCATATCAGCATAAGTTACAGGAATAAAAACAACAACTTGCAATAATACAATGAGGTATATTTGCAAAATTAACTCTCATTTGAGAACAGCAATGGACATTGTATTCAAGTATTTACAGATTTCTTTTCTTGTAATTCTTTGGATGTACTAGGGATTAACTCTGGTATTTCATGTGAAAATGAGGATGTAGATTGTGATTCAGGATTCAAAGTTGTACTTAACTTTTTATATATTGACATTGCCTGAAAAGCCAAAAAATAAAGTATTATTGTACAAATCAAACCCAAAATTACAGAGAAGTTAATTGTATACGAGCTGTATATGTGTTAACTGTATAGAGAATTCTTTTTCAGGTACCTGAACAACAGCATTGCTCACATCACCAGTGTTGTTGGGCAAAATTAAAGTATTGCTTGTCTTTGCTAAATTTTGGAATGCTTGTACATACTGTTCAGCAACATTGAGAGAGGCAGCATCCTTTCCATCCTGTAAAAAAAAAGTCAAGAGTATTTTTTTAATGACAACTTAAACTCCAATAGTCCTACATGAACTGACAAATTACTGCTGAAAAGAGAGGCTTCTGGACTGAATTATTTCAGATCAAGGTATTTGATCTGAGAGTTATGTGGTATGTTTAAATGGATGATGAAACATATCGATGCTAACTACAACAATGTTTAATGTCTTAAGACAATCTTTTCTTTAAGACAACCTTTCGCTGGATCAAAGATACCATTGGTGTACGTATAATGATAATGACAATATATATTTTAGCTTGAGGGTTTCGGTGGTGAAGTAAATGAAAACAGCATCACTAAGGAACTTAATTAAGACCTTCATTAGATTTTCAAAAGATTACAAAGTTTAAAACACTTGGCATATTGTGAATTTGGAAAATAACAATGCATGGATTGCATGTATTTCGTGATGAAGTTATCAAATGAGTAGCAAACCAAGTGAAATATTCTTGCCACAGTATCATTTTAATACAGCCTACAAGTGTAATTCAAGTTACCAAGGGTCAGCAAGTACACACCTCTAATTTTTATTCATTTATAGACTCCTCCCATAACACAGAAAGAAAAAAATATTTTCTTCAATCAATTACACCACCAGCACTGATATGTACACCAACATTCCAGACACGTTAGTTAGTTAGTTAGTTTAGATAGTTGTCCCTGTTTATTAAAGGTGTGAACAACAAGTAGTATGCACATCTTACAATGGTTTAACAAATTATGTCAATTCAGTTTGATCATTATAGATTACACATTGTACATATACATACACACATGCATACACAAAAGCATGCATACATGCATGTTCATATGACGTTTTCGCACATATTTAATATCATAAATTTAATCGCAAAACTATAACTATCCTAGCTGTTCTTGAAGGCATGCTCAGTTTCCTTTTGAAAGCCGTCAGCAGAAAGTTTATTCCATGCATTTACAGCCCAGTTTACAATAATGTAAGAATGTTGTCCTATCCTTGTTTTATCTTTCATCAACTTGATTGGGTTGACTTGATGTAAGTCTAGGTATCGTGACTCTTGTAAAATAAAATTAAAAAATTGTTAAATTCAGGAATGTTATAATACCCATTCAAAATTTTAAAACTTTCTATAGTATCACCCTGTTTCTTCTCTGTTCAAATGCCAAAAGTGACATTTCTCTGAATCCGTTTTTTGTCTTTTTGACAGTAGACATCAAACTACATTGGCATACTGAAGTATGGGCCTTATGTAAAGATCAGTTTTACCTAAGCGGGGTGCATTTAGAGAATGCCTTTCTGATCAGGTATAGTAGTTTACTGGCTCTTTTGGTAACAGAAACAACTTGGGTTATCCCATTTCAAATTTGAAGTGTTAAAATCTCATATCATATTGTTTTATCATAGATTTCAAGATATGGTTTCCGACAGTATAGTTTAGATTTGGGTTATTATTTCCAAGGAGAATTGTACACTAATTGGAGTTTAAGGGGAGCAATCATTATTTCGACTATTTTACCACTTTATTGATGCCAGATCGCTGCATCTGATTATTCTTTAGTGGCTTTGAGAATAATTTGGTATAATTCATATAGCAGACCCGACTAGAAGACAGATCAACACTAAGGTCATAGGCGTACAGGAATAAATAATATCTGCCCAAGAGCAAAACTTTAAAAGTCACCACTTGTAACACTTTTGGGACTTGGTGTTTTTGTTTCCTTCCTGGACTGTTCTGTCAGATACATATTCCTTAATCCACCTCAATACTTTGTATACCCAAGGATATAATTTTGTAAGTAGGATGTAAGTAGGTGATGCAGGATGGTCTTTTTGAGCACATGCTGTAGTAGTAAAGGATAGAATGTTCCATTTTTTCCATTTAGTTTATCCATATAAAATGAATCGATATAGTTACTGTTTTTAATGCATACAGGAAGTTCGTTAAACTTAAGTTCTAATATGAACAATTTCAGAATTTAAATCAATTGACTTTGGTACCAGGATTTTTGAAAGTTCGTACCACAATAAACATTATCTGGCAACGCTGGTCTGTCAATTAGCCATTCCATAACTTTGGCAACTGTCCTCGTCACACTTATTTGTCTCTAGTTCCTTGATGTCTCTTCGTCTCCGTTCTTGAAAACAGGAGTTATGTCAGCTTATGTCCACTCAGATGGCAACGGTCCTGATTCTAATGATTGTTTCAATATTTTTTTTTCAATAGAGGGTTAATTGTAATCTGCAGTTTTTCAGGTACAAGACTGGGAAATCATTACGACCAGTGGACGAGCTTGCATTTAATCCACACAAGTGGGCAGTCTCAATATCCAAAAGATCTGGATCTTCCATGATTCTAGTACCTCTCTTCAATAGTTTGTAATTGACCTTCAGGTTCAACAATACATACTGCTTCAAACTTTTTTGATCTTTCCGTTTTTGTTCACACTCTCTCACATTACAGGTCAGATTGTTTGAAAGGTTTCTATAGATGTTGTAACTTTCATCTGTTCCAGATCTACTATAATTTGCCCATACTCAACGTTTTAAGTCTGCTTTGTTTTATGATCTCATGATTAATCGAAGATTTATTTAAATTTGTACATGGTGAGTATTTAAAAGGTATTTAAATATATCACAGCAGTTCCCATAATTAGTTTCAACACCACAGTTTTCATTGTCTTCATTATTATACATGCTTGATAGTGCATAGATATAGATATTTTATTTTGAAATAAAAACACTGTATTGAATTCCTAACCTATTTTACCAAACTTTATGGTGCGATTCGATTTCTGTAATTTGCAAGATTGTTCTTAAGCATAAAAAGGTTCTTTTGACTTCATTTATACTTGGGGAACAATGTTGAAAAGCTGATTCTTTTTTCCTTCTTCTCTTTTTTCTGTATAATAGTATGCAATTCGCCTTGTAAAACTTCACTGATATTTTTTTTTAAGTTCTCAAACATGCATTTGATCTTTCCATTTTCCTCTATTCTTTTTTTTTTTTTTTTTTTTTTTTTTTTTTTTTTTTTTTACGAACTGCCCTACTGGTAAATTGGTCCTGGTAAATTGTTGAGAAGTTGACAAATAATTCAATTTTACTGAAGTGGTAAGCTCGAGATCATGTTGTTTGTAGTTTAATTTTTTACGCAGAGTAATGAGATGAGTGCAATATGACAGTTTGCTTTGGCTTCCTTTTTCACTGTAGCCATTATGGCTCAAATAGCACAAATACCAAGTGCAATCTCAATTCATTAAAGGAAGTAACTTCTACCTTTAATGTGCAACCAGTAATAAAAAGCAGCAATGAGCCACGTCCCCACCTACATAATTAAGGCAGACCCTGAAAGAAGATTATAATTATAATATAATATATTTATATAATTATGGATACGGTGACTGATTTCTTTCCCAATTTTCGGTGGTTCTAATAACTTGTTTCTCTTATTATTTTTGCATAGTGATATATATTTCTGTTTAAGATAGTCAAAATTATTCAAAAGAGATTTTCCTAAGAAAAATTTCCTTATAGAGACAAGTCTATACATTTTAAAAAGTAATTTAGAGGAATACTAACTATTTCATTGTTATAGGACTCTTCGGCTTCTTTAATTAAAGTGTTTAGTACATTTTTAATTCTAATTTATTTACTTTTAATTTCAATATTATCAGGATTCAGGTTCATTTTTTTATATAGTAGGTTTTTATTTTTACATGATATGATTAAGCTCTTAGAGATCCATTCCTTTCTGGGTTTATTTTTACCACGAATTTGTGTTTTAGTTGAAGAAAGGTCAACTATGTTCCATGATCTTTATAAATTTATCAAACGCAAGGTTTAAATCTGTTTCATAATATACAAAATTACAATTTATATTAGTCATTATTTTCATTAATTTGCTATATTTTATTTGGGTTTTGAGTACTGGATTTATATTTGGATCTCTAACAGTTGGTATAGTGTCTATAACCACCATTGTTGCAACGTGGTCTGTCAAATCCAGATCACATACTAATGGTGTTATAGAAATACTTTCAGCGGTTTTAACAAAAATGTGGTCTATACATGTTGCTGAGTTTAATGTGATCCTAGTAGGAATGTTTATCAAAGATCTGTAACCAAATTGCAAAAAATTAAGATAATCATTAACCAATTCATTATCATTCAATATGTCAAGGTTAATGTCTCCCATTATAATGTGATTATCAACATGGGACAGATCATGTAAATAAACATATAAATCACTTATATAAAATCCGTTAGCGTAACGCTGTGGGATCTGTAAAATGATGAAATATAAATTTTTCCGTTATTGGATTCCAGTTCAGTATATATTACTTTGATTTTTCCCATGCTTTTTCTAAAGTTCGTATGTCTAATAGTATTCCTCACATATACGCAAGTACCATCATTCCTATTTAAATTACTATTTACTTGGAAAAGCTTATAACCATCAATCTCAAACCAATTAACATAATTTATTTCAAATGTTTCTGTACATATAATAATACTGGATTTCTCAATCATAATTAATACATAATTTCAAGTTATCGAGATTTCTATTTAAACTCCTTATATTGATATGCATAATTTTTAAACCAGAGATATCACATAAGTAATCATTCAATTTATTTAAGTTTCTGCATTTATTTCTGTTATAATCTGGTAAATTCTTCAAAGGAATTTTCTATAAAAAATGGTAGCCAACTGAATTAAATTAGTCATAATCCGCATTAACAAAATCATAATTAGTTTCAATAATATCCAATGACAATTGTTCATCAACTGCAAAAACAATATCAAGTTGAAGGTCATACAACACAGACTACAAACGAACATTCACATTAGGATATACTACAATTTCAGTCATTTACAAAAATCAAATCTACAATTCTACCAGACTCATTGACGATGTTTATTTGAAATCAATTTACTTAATTTTTAGTTTTGCTAAAATTGCACTAGAATTTATCTCTTCCGATGATGGATTTAAGAAATCACAACACACACCAAATTTGTCATTGATTCATTTTGAGTTTGAAAGATTTAAATCATTGTAGATAAAAAACTTGGAGTTTACATTCAAAAATTTGTTCAAGAGTTTCGGTAAATTTAATAAATGATTCCAACAATGGTTTTGGTGGAAAGTAAAGAGATCCAATTATAATTTCAATATCCACAGATTTAATTATTACAAATCTTTTTTTCCAGACAATTTGGTGAATCAATTTTTGTACTAAAAAATTTACGATGGACCGTAATTGCAACACCACCTCTGCTCTTGTGGATAATAGCCAATGTTGATCTGTCTTGTTGAAAAATAATATAATTTGGTAAACATAATTCAGTACTGGATATATCCTCATTCAACCATGTCTCAGTTAGGATTATAATGTCCGTATCATGTAATGTAGATGAAGAACTTGCGATAGTTGAGAGTTTAGTTCTCAATCTGGTGATTTTCTGATAATATGCTGATATGTTTGTGCGCAATTGCCCGATATTTATTTTTACTGCAAAGTTTGAGAACATGATTTACCTTTGGTAGATATATTTACTAAAGCTGGAACTTCATTTACATTTTCAATTTGATATCAGTATTTCCACCATCCACAATTTCTCTTTTCAACTTCATCAATATATTCTTCAAATACTCTCTCTGACATAATGTGCGATCAGCTGTGGTTTTAGCTTTTCTCTTTGCTTTTCAAAAGTTGTAAAACTAGATAAGAATTTGGCAATATCACTTTTAAAGGCCTTTGTGTCGATTTGTTTATGCTGCCAATACAAACCATTGATACATCAACATCTTTATTTATGATTTGTTTATCTTTGGACAGGCATTCTTTTATTGACAAATCACTTACAACGTACAGAATTATATTTATAACTAGCTGTTGTCGCTGAATAAATTCTGCATATAAGGATTCAAAATCAACCTTCTCACGCTTTCCCAATTCAGGACAATGAGCCTGCTTTAAACCTTTCATATCTTCCATTAGAGATTGATTAGACTTTTGTACTTCATCAATTTTATTATTCAGCTTTGCTAAAGCTAATTTCACATTTGTTTGGTCTTTACTCTGGCAACTTTCACAGTAAAACATCATCTGTCTTTTCATATTTTTGAGAAAAAGTACCGTTAGTTCAGTTGCTGTTAGTGTAGTGCATTCCGAGTGATATTTAGACCAACATAGATCACTATTCACATATTCTACGTCACCATTGATCACGATCGAATATTCAGTTTGCACTTACCACACACCACCTCCATAATCTCGAGATACATTTACAATAGATCAATATTGTGGCGTCGTTAACACGAGGGTCAGAACCGTTAGGTCGGTGAAA